GAGCTATGCACCATGGGTGGGTGTGTGCAGGGGGCCCCAAACACACACCCCTTCACATCCCCCCATAAAGCACATGTCCACCCACAAACCCCACATACTGCCATACCCACACCCCTCCACAAACCCCACACTCGCCCACAAGTCCCACACATACCCCTCACACCTTCATAACCCCCCCACAAACCCTACATACACACCCACACCCCCCAACACCTTCACAAATCCCTCACACACACATACCCTGCATCAACCCCCATCATACAAATGCAGTACCTGCATATATTTCTAAAGACATTCAAATAGCATTATATTTAGCTTCATTTGTAAAAATATATAAATAAATAAATAAATGTAATTAATTTTGCATAATTTTGAGTTGAGTTTTCCTGCACATAATTTTGAATTTTTCTGTGCATAATTCCCAGAGATGCACCTAACCCTTGTTACTGCAGAAGGTGCAGGCTATGAAGTGCTGAGCTCCAGGCAGCAGAGCTATACCACTAAAGTACTGCAGATAGCAACACTATGGGGCTGCAGTCTGCAGGATATAGGCTGCAAAGTATCATACTAATGAAGAACCTCATTAAAGAAGGGGAGGTCAATTACTAGAAGGGTTTAGATGCTGTATGACCCTTGCTCCTGGGCTGAAGAGTCAGGCTAACCCAGGCCACAGTGGGGAAAGGAGAACCTGCTGAGAGCTGCAAGTCTGGCCCTGACAGCCAGAGGGGAAGGAGTTCCCTGGAAAGAAAGACGTTATAATGAGTAGGAGAGGAGACTGAGGCTGGGGGCTGGCAGTAGGACTGGCAGTAGCAAGCAAGAGAGAAATGGGGAGAACCTTAGGAAAGGAAACCTCATTTATGGCTATGGGTTTTGTTTGTGTTTCTTTTGCTGTAAGGTATGGGGTCATTTGCGGGGTATTGGGAGGCTACTAAGCACATTTGATGAAGTAGTGTGGTGGCAGCTGATCTAGGGGCAGGCCAAGACTCTGGAGCTAATGCCCAACAGCAGAGTAGAGGGCATCAGGCCCCAAGGAAATGTAGAGGTGAATGGTAGCCGACAGAGGCCTGGGGGCCCAAGGTGGGCCAAGAGAGGCCCAGTAGTCTAAGGTGGGCCAAGACAGGCAAACTGGAGGGTAGAGACACCCTGCTTGAAGGTGATGCAAATAAAGATTGGGCCAGACAAAGGTGACCCAGTGATGAACAGGGTCACCTAAGATGCCTAAGATTTCACACCAGCAGCCTGAGGGCTGACTCCCAAATTTATATTAATTACCATTAAGATATGGCAGGCAGAGACAGGGCAGTATCACTGGTGTGCAGAACAGGCTTGGGGTAGCTGCCAGAGGGTGCCAGAGCTGCCTTAGAGGTGAAGCCCATTACACCTGTTTTTTTGGGATGTCCACAGGTTCTGTGGATTCTGGAGGCTAAATCACTTCATCAGAAGTAGAAACTGCAGGTGTCCAGGCCAAATGGGGGCACTCCCTTTTGTCCTTAGTATGAGCAGATGATGATCAGGTACAAAAGCAATAAGAGAAAGCAAGTCAGACCAACCCTGAATTAAGATTAAGCTTCAACTTGGACCATCTGAATATTAAAATTAAACAGAGGCTATTTATTTTTTTTAATCAAAGTAATAATATAATAAAATAATGACTTATGTTAGTGTAATAATATGGTTTCAAAATAAAATTACCAAGAGTCAGGAAATCGAAAATTAGAGTTTTGACAGCAATGTTATTTCAGGCTCCTTGTAACTGTGCAGTATTCTATTCCTGAGAATTCATCCCCAGAGAGATGTGTAATTGTTACTTTTACTTTCTCTAGAACCTATAACTGTAAATACCCTGACTTATCTGATTTGAAACCTAACCAATATATTGCATTACTTCAGTGTTTTATATTTGATGCTGTAAGTTAAAAGACAGAAAAGATCTGATATGATAAACTGGGATTAATTTATATAATTTCATATTAACTGAAAAGCCTGATTTCTACAAGTTAATAGGCAATAATCGATTTACATACAGTAATCGTGAGAGCCAACATTAATCATTCAATAAATTCCTTCCTTCTTCGAAAGCTGAATACCTTGATTACTATACTTACTTCAGATGAAAGGCTGTTGGTAACTGAACGTTAGACAACAGAGTGCAGTATTCAAACCCCCCAGCAGTGTTTTTAGTACGTCTTACTCAAAAGCATTTACTCTCTTGATTGAGATATCACACAGTTATCAGGAGACTATATGTTTTAGTAAACAGAAAAGTTAGTTCCTGCTTAAACCAGGTATGACTGACAACTCCAAAAGCACTATTATGAAAAATATTTTTTTCCCCGAAATGATTGACAAATCATGCTTAAATAAATTTTTTAAAAAGCCAAGGGCTGGCAAACTTGTGCCTCTACAGGCCAGAACCTGTGACCCAGAACCCTGCTACAGGCAGCAAACCTCAACCCCCTGGAATGCCCAAGCCACCTGTGCTTACCCTTGCCACTGATTCAAAGGCTAATGGTGTTGGAAAGAATTAAATTCACAGGCACTATCGGAAAAGAGCATGGAGGGCTGGGTGGTCAGCAGACACTGCAAAGGGAACAGAGAGAACAAGGCAGACAACAGACCCTAAGGACATCCCCTTAAGGCAGAGGCAGGCAAAATATGGCCTGCAGGCCGCATCCAGCCCACCAGGCCATTCTATCTGGCTCATGGGACACCTAAAAATTTTTAAAAATGAATATTTATCTTCCCCAGGCTGCCTGTGAAAGATGATAGGAGCCAGCAGCAGCAGGACCCGGGGTAGGTAGGAGAAGTGGCAGAGAATGGGACCCACAGGGCCAGACCAGCTCCTGCTGTGTTCTGTGCCTGGCATTGCAGCCGGGAACTGCGGGGTGCCCAGCCAGGCTGGTTGGCTCCATGCCATGCCGTGCCATGCAGTTCACACTGCAACGCCCAGATGGAGACTGCGGCAGGAGCCAACCTGGCCCCACGGTTCCTGTCCGGCTGCTGCTCCTGTCTCTTTTGCGGGCTGTGAATTGGGGGAAGCCCCCGCTGGAGCCGCTGCCTTCCTGCCCCCACCGTGCAGCTCTGCGGATCAGGAGTAGATGAAGCCTGCTCCCTGCTTCCCGTGAGGTCCAGCAGGGCTGCCCTGTGTGAGGGCGGGAGCTACAGGCACGCGTGGAGCCCCCACAACAGAGGCGGTCAGGCAGGCTGCACCTCTCACCTTCCCATACACAGCACTGCCTGGAGCCGCCCCACCAGGCACCAGTGGCTGTGCGCCATAGCAGGGTGTGCAGAGGGTCTCCACACCCCACAAATCACACACCCACACCCTGCCCCCACAACCCCTCCACATATACACAGACCTTAACATACCCTGTCCCCCCGACAATTGCCCACACCCCACCATACACACACATCCCTATACCCCACACACAATTTAAAAGAGTAAGACTGTATTTTTGAGTTATGATGCAATACCTTCTATACACACTACACAAACACAAATCATGACAAATATTTTTTGTAATAAAACTGAAATCCGTTCTAGCAGGTGATTGACTGTCAGTGTATGATTTGATTTTTTTCTGGTTCTAAGATGGCAAACCCCCCACCCCACCATAAAGGAGTATTTCTGCAGGCAGGGCAAGGAGAGGGAGGTCTGGTAGCAAAGGTCAGGGGTTAGTGGGCAGGACTTCCAGTCCCAAGATAGCAACCAGGGGGTGGGGCTACCTATGCAGCCCTCAACAACCCGCAAAACTCATTAAGTGCCCCCCCCAAATAATTGCCCACCCCTGCCCTAGGGCCTTGGCTGTTGTGGAAGGAATAGATCGGGGTGGGCAATTATTTAGGCCGGAGAGCCACTTAAGAAGTTTCAGTGAGCTGTTGCAGGCCAGAGGTGGGGAAAGAGGGCACTGACCTGGCCCCGTGAGGCAGGGGGGTGCTGACACAGCTCTGTGCAGCAAGGGCAGAGGGTAGGGGGGGCAATTGGTCCTATCTGATCCCAGGCAATCTGCCCTGCACCCACTACTAGGGGTGCCAGATAAAGCAGGCAGGCAGGGTATCCATGGACACTGGCCCAGGACCCCTGCAGGAAGGGCACGCTTGGCTGAGCTGTTGGGATAGAGGCAGACAGAGAGCAGGGTGGGCCAGGATCAAGGGGTGGTGACAGCACAGGGCTGGGGCCTGGGGCCAAACTACAATCCACTCATGCAAGTCACTGCAATGGGTGCCAGCTCCTCAGACAGGGACATGCAGGGCTATCACTGCCCCACAATCTCAGCCCTGGCCCTGCCTGCCCATCCCGCTCCCAGATATCACTCCCCGCTCGCCTGCAGCCCCATCCCATCTGCCTAGCTGAGCATGCCCTACAGTGAGGGTCCAAGACCAGTCTCCACTGAGACCCTACCTGCCCCATCTGGAGCCTCTGGCAGTGGGTGCAGGGTGGACTGGCGGCAGCAGCCAGACAGAGTGATCCACTACCCTGGGGGCTGCTGGGAAGTCCAATCCAGCTGTCATGCTGCCCCTGCCCTGCTGCACCCCTGCAGGCCACAGGACCACACACCATGGCCCAGCCTGCCCCCTGATTTATGGGCCAAGCAGGGCCAAGGGACTCAATGCAGACCAGATAAAATCCATTGGCTGGCTGAATCTGGCCTGCAAGCCATATTTTGCCCACGTCTGGAATAGATAGAATGAGGCAGGCAGTAGAACCCTGGTCATATCCCATCTGCTGCCCAGGCCACAGCATGCTGCAGATCCTCCAAGCTGCCCAAGGCCAGATCTAGCCTGTGGACCATAGATTGCCAAACCCTGAAACATATCAATCAAGTCTTACCATCATCTTAATGCTGTTTAGTCCATAAGGGATATTGAATGATGATTATAATATAATGCAGAGCTAATTTTTTTAGGTACCTAAAAACTATCAAGTAGAGCTCCAATCACCTGATTAGGCTTACATCACAGGGAAAATAAATGATTTTGTGCTTCTTGTTGTTACTCACCTGTCTTAGATCCAGGGTGATGGTGACCCAGTGATATTCTCTCCCATTCTGAATGCTGGGACTTTGCCACCAATTATTCGTACCATCTATAGCATTGGAGATAGGGTGCTGTTCTGTTTTTAAACAAGAAAGTCTTTTAATTTCATTATTAGGGATGTGAAAGGTTAAACAATTAATTGTTTAAACTATAAGTGCAGTGATAACTGGTTAGCTCATCCTTTAGCACAGGGTAGGCGCAGTGTGGCAGGGAATTGAGGAAGGGAAGCTGTGCAGTGCCCCAGAAGGAATCAGAAAGCAGCAAGGCAGGCAGGTGGGAGGGAGGAGTGAGGAGGAGGGGATGGGAGGAGGACTGATACCCAGCCTAAGAGGAAAACAGGGAGCAGCCCAATGACTCAATTAAGCAATTAGCTGCTTGTTTACAGGTGCTCCCTCCCTCCCAGCAGGGTTTCAGGTAGGCTGTGTTATCTAACTGGGCTTGCCTTCTCTTCCCTCTCCCCCCAGTCAAAGGGCTCCAGTAGCAGGGAGTGGCTCCCAGCAGCAGCTGTGTCCAAGCTGCTGTGTTATCAGTTAATTGTTTAACCAAATTTTATTAGAGGAGGTTAAACGATTGAAAAAAAAATGATATTTACATCCCTACTCATTATTCCTTCTCTTACTTAGCATGTATTTAAGTTGCACAGTAGATATTTTATCCTTATATTAGTAAACAGGGATCCTAATTTTCTGTGATAAAAACCCAAACTTCTCCTATTTAAAAAAAAAAAATCATAAAAATCTGCACTTTCCATGGCAAGCCCCCCAGAATGCTGATTGGTCAAGGGGCTGTGGCCCTGCCACTCGCCACTGATTGGCCAAAAGTACTGGCTTTCGCCATTGATTAGTGGAGAGGAGCAGGGCCGCACAATGGGTAGCCCTCTTAGCCAATCAGCGGCTGGGGCCGGGGGGCAGGGAAATGGGGCTGCCATCTCTGTTGCTTCTCTATGTGCCAGTAGATTCTCCACCCCCACCAGTGGACTGCTGCAGGGGCTGTAAAAACTATTGGTTCCCACTGGGGAACCAGCATTTTATTTTTAGTAAAAAAAAATTTTCCAGGGATTCTAAAGATTCTCTGTAAACAACACAAATTCCATGTTTTTCTGTGGTAAACACATTTCTAGGATCCTTGGTAATAACCAATAAAACATACAAAGGTTGACCCCTATGCAGAATTCTACCATGTAGCCTGCTATGGAGGTTTTTGTGGGACTTAAGGTTTTGTGTCTGCCCCTGTGTCAGAAAGCCTGAATTTTACCCAAAATGTAGGTGAACATTAGCGAGTATTCTAAGCAAGTGCATACCAGACGCACATTATATTGTTTGAGTCCTGTTCTATCCTTCCACAATTAACACAACACACTTGCCTTTGGGATTAGGACTGTTGTTGTCACAGACACGGCACTGTGCATTGCGTAGAGGTCGACCAGGAACATGTTCCACCAGTTTGCAGAACATCTCGGGTCCCTTCTCGCCACAGGTAGCATTGGTGGTGATATGAGCATTGCTAGCCAGATTTAAAATAGCCGGAAACAAACCTTAAAAGAATAAAAAGTAAACCAAAAATATTATCAATCTTGAGACATACCAATTAAAATAAAAAGACGTGCATTTCACTGTAGTATCTGGTATCGAGCAATCTTCTTCACTGTGTATGTCCCTTTGTCCCGAAGTTTGGTAAATAAATGTACTGAAAATACATCATCTTTGTGGAAGGAACAATAACATTTCAAACAATATTGATTCCAGGTCACATTGGTGTCATTTTTGAAGAATAACAGAGTGTAATTTCATAGGCAGACATTAAGCTTATTTTACAGTGTAAATCAATCCCAGGAGGCAAATTTCAAAGTACCCCAGATAAGAATCATACAGCAAGTATCTTATGCCCGCACCCATTCTTTTTAACTGATCTCAGAAAACAGAAATGTGAAAGGACTTGAGCAGTGTATTTTGAAATGTCTAAGTTTATAAAGAGTGAAATTTAGATCTTGATTCTGGGCACTTCTATGAATGCGATAAAGCAAAGGGCACATTATTCTGACCCCTTCATTGTCTCCCCCAAATTTGCTGTCCCTGGCATAAATTATAGTAGTGAAATTGGGAAAGCAGGTTGGGAAAGCAGCACCACACTCCTCTCCAGAGCCTAGCCCATGAGATTTCCTCTCCCCAAAACGTTTTCTTTCAGAGAAGCCCAATTCAGGGTCCGTGGTTTCTGTCTGTGACTACTTTTGCATTTGAATATTGTTGTATACCTTTATTTAAGAAGCATTCCTCTTCTTGGGTAGCTCAGTTATTGAGATAAACATCTGAGAAACTGCTAGGTTTTGGTGGCAATACTTAATCAAGTTCTAATATTCAAATCTGAGTCTTTCTTTTTCTCTCTAACCCGAAACCTAACCCTGGACCCTGCTCGGTCGGCGTGGCTGTCCCCCGAAGCCCTGGCTGCCCGGCTGGCGCTGTGCTCCGTCCGCACCGTGGGCCGGCTTCTGCAGACCGTCAGGGGCGCCCTCCCGGCGGAAGCAGCAACCGCCCTGCAAGTCCATCTCCAGGCTCGCCGGACCCTCCCCGCCGCGGACGCCGCACACGACGCCTTCCCACCGCTGCCCGTCATCCCAGTGGTACCCCGCGGGCTCGC